TAATCCTTACTTTGTTTTCAAAATAAATGAACTAATGGCTTCAGTTTTCATAATTTGCACATGGCTCCATTTATAGCAAGTCAATCAGCATGTAGAATGGGTTGATTAACCAGAAGTGTAGATAGTTCTCTATGCATAGGTAGGTAGGTAGGTAGGTAGACGGACGGACGGGCGGACGGACGGACGGACGGACAGACAGACAGACAGACAGATAGATAGATAGATAGATAGATAGATAGATAGATAGATAGATAGATAGATAGATAGATAGATAGATAGATAGATAGATAGATAGATAGATAGATAGATAGATAGATAGATAGATAGATAGATAGATAGATAGATAGATAGATAGATAGATAGATAGATAGATAGATAGATAGATAGATAGATAGATAGATAGATAGATAGATAGATAGATAGATAGATAGATAGATAGATAGATAGATAGATAGATAGATAGATAGATAGATAGATAGATAGATAGATAGATAGATCATAACTAGCTTGAAATAGGAAGAAAGGAAAACCAATTATTCCCTGCCTTTCCTCAATGCCCATCCACCTCCTGCAGGTAATAATGGGAAAGGAGGCAAGGAGTACGGGAACGTTGTGAATGACAGATAGAAAGGAGGGTCAAAGTGATCAGGCAATAGTGCTATGGTGATTCCTGGCTTTTGTGAGACGGCTGGAGAATGGCAAAGACAGAACTAGTTAACTCTGGGTACTCAGCTTGTTGCTTGCTTTCCCCCTGTTGACCTTTCCTCCTTCTTTAGCATTGCACTCAGGCACTAGACAGCCACCTATTAGGGATGAGCCAAACCTTTGGCCCAAATTGTCTATGGGGGTTTAAGGTACTTTTCTTACTCAGAGCTGCATGAAGGTGTTCCAACAGGGACTTAAGTTTGGCCTTCAGATGTTCCTCAACTGGCCTACTGTAGCTCCTCAGAGAGCACCTCCCCTAAGCTCCATTCTTGCCCAGCTAACAAGAAAACGAATCATCCTGACCTCCAACAAACTGGAGATAGTGCAGAGCTGCTCTTCTGGATGAGCCCTAAACTGGGGACTCAGGTGGTGCATGGGCTTTGCTTGTTCTCTCCCCTTCCCCCTTTGGGGAAGAGGAAAGAGCAGTACAGTACAGTCACATCCCTACCTGAAGTGCTAAAGGAATACAGTGGTGCCCCGCTAGACGCTTACCCCGTTAAACGACAAAATTGCTTGATGATGCCTTTTTTGCGATCGCTATAGTGATCGCAAAATGATGTTTCCTATGGTTTTTTTTTTAATGACGATTAAGTTCCTGCTTCACGAACCAATTGTTCACAAGATGATGATTTAAAACAGCTTATTGGCCGTTCGCAAAACGGCTCCCCGCTGTTTTCCGGACCCATGCTTCGGAAGACAGCGATCGTAAAATAGCCGCCCTAAGGAGTATCTTCGCTGCACGAGCAGGTATTTCCCCCATTGGAACACATTAACCGGTTTTCAATGCATTCCAATGGGGTTTTTATTTTTGCATGACGACAATTTCGCTGTACAGCGATTTTAATGGAATGCATTATCATTGTCATGCGGGGCACCACTATAATCTGAACCTGCACAGTTGCTGTCTTATAGTTGTCAAAATTTGGTCAGCCTAATTGCTTGGCCTGTTCTGCAAATTAAGTGAATTCCTTGTCCCATCCCTTTTCACCACTGTTTACATGGGAAGAAAAGCAACGATTAGAGTGAGATATTATCATGGAATGGAACAGGGATAGCTAAGCATTGATTCTCCCTCCCTCCCTCTCAGTCTAATATGACACCTTCCAAAGACTGGGACCCAGTCTTTAAAACTAACTTGCTTCTCTTGAAACTGAGAGCAAGTGAGCTAATATTTAAACAGTTGACTTACGGGTAGAAGCTTGGGCTGCTGTACTCGAAACTGCAAAGCCAACTTATAGGAAATGAAATACATTAAAGAGATATAACCCTATTGTAAATGGAAAACCTAATTGACTTCTGAAGGCTACCATTCAACGTCATGGATATAAATTTTCTGTAAACTAACACCAAGAGTTCCTAAGCTCATTTATGTGGACGGAAGCTTAGATTGTCTTCTGCTGTAATGAATTCAATCAAGAAATCATTGAGTATTTGGTACTGTTGCCAAGGAAATTGAAAATCAGTTCAGTTTTCAGCAACCAGCATGTGTGATGCAAAGATTTAACAGCATTAAAAAGAATAATATTGTGAATCATAACAGCTCCTGTGACTCCAATGAGAATAGAAGTTTTGTCATATAAACTATAGTCACAAGAGTGTTTGAACAATATACAAATACAGGACTGCTGGATAGCTCAGGGGTTTAGGCCTCTGGCTGCAGAGCCAGAGGTTGGGAGTTCGATTTCCCCCATGGTGCCTCCCTGATAGGGGTTGGACCCCACGACCCAGAGAGTCCCTTCCAGCTCTGCAGTTCTCGGATTATTAGCTGGCTGGATACCTCAGAGGTTTAGGTCTCTGGCTGTGGATCCAGAGATTGAGAGTTTGATTCCCCACACAGGGCATTCTTGACAGGGGCTGGACCCCATGTTCCAGAGGGTCCTTTCCAGCTCTGCAATTCTAGGATTATTATTACTGTTACTATAAGAAAACTATTGCATCGCCTACATTTTGGGTGCATATTTTATGTCCTGGGTTTATTATAATCATTAAGAAAATTCAATAGAGTTTTCTTGTTTTTAGCTTAGGATAAAAACAAAGACCATTAGTTTCAAAGCATTCACATCCCAGGTTTGACCATGTCAAGGTTTTATGTTCAACGTTTTTCTGTTATACAGTATTACGTACTGCATTTTTAGTCTCCTTACTTTGTTTTATTCTAGATAGAAGGAAAGTAGACATTTAGAACATGGCCCATTCAATACACACCACATGTTAAATTGAAGTCAAATCTGAGAAACTGACTGCAAACTGAGGCTGGCTGTGGAAATATTTTAGAATATATTTTTAAAAATAGATAATATCAAGCAGCTCACTTATTAAAGC